ATTCTAATTTTTCCTCTTATTGCTCAGTTCATTAAGAAAAGAGCAAACAGTTGCCAGCCATATTGCAAAAATGTCTAAGTATTGTCTTGGTCAGAAATAGGGAATCGGCTTTAGTGAGGGAATTGAACTAGACAGTCTCCAGATGTCCCTTCCAAATCCTACAATACCATGACAGCAAGGCAGTTATGCAGTTGAAGCCATATTAAATTTCCTGTGCTCAATAACATCAAGTCTTTCAGAGAAAGACTATTTCAAAATAGTGTATTAAGGCTGCTATTTCAGATATTTTCAGACTAAGAAAAAGGATCATCTTTAAATATGAATAGCTATGCATGGTAAGTAATTTACTCCTACCTTATTTTACATGAGTACCAAAATTTGTACTGAAACTTCATTCAGTACCTTCTTAAACAGATCAATAAGCCTCAACATAGACATTTACTTCCAGAAGTAAGATGCAAGATAACAAGGGTAAGGAGACAGATGTTTCCTTTAAATTAAGAAAGTCCAGTAGGTAGAGAAAGAGAAGGGAAAGGACATTTATGCCTGTTTGTGCAAATAACTGACAATAAAACCAGATTTTGGTATTGCAGCCATCAGTCTTCAGAAGCCCAGACAGTGTTCACACTCAGCTACTAGTAGCTAGAGATCATCTGACTTACTCATCCACTTCACAGCAAAACTTACAGTAGTAACGTTCCTCAAAAGTGTCTTTCCTAGAGGTTTCATGTATTTGTTAATGAATAAGGAAATTCCTATGCAACTCCAGATCTACAGCTTTTCTAGTTCTCCTGCACAACAGAAGCCATTGTCAAGCATCAGCTTTATAACATATTACTTTATTCTCCAATCCACCTTATCTTAAACTACCTTTACAAAGAAGGCCAGTTTTAAAATTTCTGTTGAACTGCTTGTTTCTCCCTAATAGAGTAGTAAACAAAGATTAAACAATGACTAAAACTAATTTGCACATAATTACATAAATTTTACATTGTACTCAGTATTTCCAAAGCAATTTTTCTGTGGCTCCATGGGGGAGTGTATACGCATAAACTAATTCAAGTAATTTAATGAGCCAAAATCCATCAACAACTAATTTTCTGTAGAAAAGGTAGCAGAAGTAGTAGTCAACAAATCAGAAAAGAAAACCTGAGGGCACACAGGAAATTGATTTTCACCTGTCACCTTCACAAGTGCTGTTTTTATTTTTGACACAACTAAAAGAACAGTGATAAGATTTAATTCCACGGAGACTTTGTACTTTTTATTATTTTTCTCTGCATGTCTATTTACAATGCAAAGTCTCCTCTGTATCAGTATTACCTCACTTTAATCTCTAAACATGTCTTCAGTATAGTTAATAAAATGAATTAAAGATTATTCTCTCTAAAAACAACTATAGCTTCAGGTAAAAATCAACCAAGAAAGTACAGTTCATCACTCTTCCAAAGAATACTCAGTATTGGTGGTTGTCAGAGCCACCTGTTACTCAGGCAGCCAGCAGCACCCTTCTCAATCAAGTAATCCTAAGGCTGCTGCCAGAACAGCTCAGAGAGATTCTCACGCAGCTTTCCCATGGTACAGAAAGGATGCAAACACATCCCGACACAGGCACAGTATTCTGATACTCTGAAGCCAGGGAAATTTCTCTGGAAAGTATACAGCAGCTGCAACATTACTACGATTTGTTAAAGCATTGTTTCAGGATGCCCATAATTGTTAAGCACGTAAATAAGGCACAGAGATGTATTCCGTAGCCTACACTGCAGGTAAACCATTATTTCAAGAGACACCCACCTAGCGTATCGTACTAAAGTAGAAAAAAACTTACGCTAAACGCTAACTTAAAGCCAACACCTCGCAGTTAACACCTGCGTTCGCATCCTAACCGGCTTACTGAGTTCCCGTACACCGCGATGCACCAGCAGCTACGTCTCCGACCGCAGATCCCCAATGACAGGATGGCTGCTTCCAGACTTCCACCCACGAAACCAGCAGCTAGAACACTCCCTCATTTCCTACTTTAATGGCGCAGTCCAGAGATCCGTCGCAGGGCTCAGGGGGCAGAGCCCCACACGCTCCACGGCGCTGCGAGGCGGCGCTGCTGGACCCGCGCACACCGACCGTGGGAATCCCGCTCGCGGGCAGCAAGGCCGCACCGCCGGGAGGCTTCAACGCGGCACACGGGCCGCCGACACCGCGGGGCCGGGCGCCAAATACGGCCAGTCCGCGGCCGCACAGCGGAACCAGGCGATGTCTGGAGACACCGTCCCGCCCGCCCCAAGGCCGGGAGCGGTTGTAAGCAAGGGACGCCCTGCCCGCACCTGCTCGTCCTCGTAGATTATGTTGGCGGGAATCTCCTTGCGGATAATCTTCCCGAAGATGGTGTCCCCACCGGGGCGCGCGGACTGCGCCTTGCGGATCTCATCAGCCATGGCGACGACCGCAAGACGCCGCAGTGGCTGCCGCAGCCGCTCTTTCTCGCCGCCGCAGCCCCGCCCCTCGCGGAGCTCATTGGACCAGCAGAGCACCGCCCCCCTTTTTCCTCTTCGCCATTGGTTGAATTGCCTGCCTTTTTGGCTAGGACCCGCCCCGCCGACCCCGCGCTCTGGATGTCGGAACGCGTAAGCGCCAAGCGGCGCGGAGGGATCCAGCGAGGGCTGGGGGAAGTGAATGAGAGGCGTGTTTCGGCTGCTGGTGTTGGTTGCAGTCGCTCGTTGCGGTTGCAGGCGTCCGGCGCCTGTTAATCCCGCGGTCCTGACGCCGTTTTTCGTGCACGGCCAAGTCCAGAGGTTTGTGATAGAAAGTTGAAAGAGAAACAGAGGCTGCTGTTAAGTTTGCGAGCAGCCATGTGTTCGTGGCGGTTGCTAAGTGAGGTTGTGCAGCTGCTGGCACAGAGTGTGAAGTGCCGGATTTGTTATACGCCTCTGCTAATAACACAGAAATTCTGCATCTTTAGACACTACACAAAGCTCTGAACGCTGGGATGACGTTCTGTGCCTCGCTGTGGTCCTGCATTAATTTATTTTGGTGTGTACGTGCCCAAAGGATTCTACTGCAGTGCAAGGCCTAAAATGAGGAAGGAATTGGTGCTTCATAGGCAAATGCATTTGGTTTCTCTGTTTGTCTGTTTGTTAAGGAAAGATAGATGAAATCATTCTATTGGCCGTGGAGGAGTTCTTAGTCTGGAATATATATGTTAAAAAAAGCCATAGTGATAAATAAAGAAAAACAGTAATTTGATACAGGTTGGTTTGTTTAGCAGCAGGGACTAGCACATTAGTTTAAGAACCAATATATTACTTTAAGAAAAGGAATCTCTAAGTGATAGTTCTGAAACTTTCCATTTTGGCTTTAGTGGTTGAAGAGTTCTGTTTTTTCTCTATAATTTTGCACTGGGGACATAATAAAATACTTTTATCTTCTGCCTCAATGATTTTGTCTCACAAGAAGTACTGGAGTCACAGTACTTTTATCTTTTGCGTCAAAACATGCAAGGACATTTTCTTTGAGTTCTGCATACATTGTTTTTAAAAGTGGCTGACTGTTGCCTAATAAGCAATGGAAATCTTCCATAATGGGGAAAAGTGGATAAAAGTGGGTCGAAGGCTTCAGTGATGAAGCTGATGGTGAAAAAAGGGTAAGAATTAGGTGGGCACTCGACCACCCTGAACGCATGCCCAAAGGGACATTAGCACATATCTACAAGTCCTTGAAAAAGAGTGAGTATGTCTGCTGGTGTACTGTATATGTATGTCTCAACTGTTCAAACGTACTGTCTGAACTCCAAGAGGATGCTCCTGCTTGTCAAGTGCACGTCGTGAGGAGTACAGGCAAGTTGTTTTCTAACACCAGTTGGAGTTAGAGAGTTTTTTTCCCAGATCTCAGATGACAAGTTGGCAAAGAGAGAGCTAAATGTTTTTGTGATCGGGCAGAAACTTTTTTCAAGCAGCTGACTTCAACAGCATTTTTGTCTCACTGGGTATATTATATGTTGTTTTGAAGATAGTAAAACAGTTTTCAGAGCATTGTGTTCATTTCATTTACAGCTATGATAAGTAATCCAGCAAGTGATAAAGACAATTTCTTCTGCTAAGAGGTCAATTTGTGTTATGAGATACATAGTCCCTCATAATATAATGCTTATAGTCCATTTCGGGAATCTGACATTAAAAATACTTAGTAATATTTTTATTTTCACACACACCAACTATCTTTGAATACAATTGCAATTAAATGTATTGAAGCAAGAGTAAA